TCTGATTCCTATCTGCATTCTATCTGCATTATTTCTGAAATTCTTTCGGGCATATATTCTGACATTCTGTCTGGAATATTCTTGGACATTTCTGAATTCTTTCTGGCCTCTCTATAGGCATATCTTCTGACATTTTTTCTGGCATTCTATCTGGCATATCTTCTGACATTTTTTCTGACATTCTTTCTGGCATTCTATTTGGCATATCTTCTGACATTCTATCTGACATCTTTTCTCACATTCTTCCCGTTGAGGTCCGGCAGTGCCCACTGCGATCTGGAAGTCGCGGTTGAGGTCCGGCAGTGCCCACTGCGATCTGGAAGTCGCGGTTGAGGTCCGGCAGTGTCCACTGCGATCTGGAAGTCGCGGTTGAGGTCCGGCAGTGCCCACTGCGATCTGGAAGTTGCGGTTGAGGTCCGGCAGTGTCCACTGCGATCTGGAAGTCGCGGTTGAGGTCCGGCAGTGCCCACTGCGATCTGGAAGTCGCGGTTGAGGCCCGGCAGTGCCCACTGGGATCTGGAGCTCGCGGTGGAGGTCCGGCAGTGCCCACTGGGATCCGGAGCTCGCAGTGGAGGTCCGGCTGTGCCCACTGGGATCTGGACTGCGAGGAGGAGGCGGCGGGAGGCGGAGGTGGAGGCGGAGGTGGAGGCGGAGGAGGCGGAGGAGGAGGAGGAGGAGAACAGCTCTGATAAAATCTAACAACCCTCACCTGGCAGGTGGGGAACAAAAAAACTTTATAACATCTTACCCCCACCAAAAATACCCTCTGGTAATTTAACCGTTTTTTTTTAATGGCACATTCATAGATGATATACCTGTTGAACACTTGAGGGCAACATGAAATGTGGTTCTCCAACTCCTTTTGAAATACAACGTTGCTCAGGCTTTCGAAATGGTATCCCTCCCCCCCAAAAAAAACAAAACCACTGGCCAAGCTATTAGCAAAGAGTTGGAAATTACAATCTTTACATATTTGGCAAACTAACCTGGTTTGTCATTACAGTTTCAAACCCCAACTCAAAGATATATTCGTATTTTGGGGATCATCATCCATCATCATCCAATTGTTTAATGATTGAAAACAAACACCTAGTTGGATGATACCAACTAGATCATGATCAATGAGTGTATACTCACTATATCCCCATTATCTTTGGCATTCTATCTCCACGAAATATTCCCATGTTTCAAGAAAACTCCTCAATACTCCTCATGTTTGTTGGTTTATGTCAAACACTGATTGTTGTTTTGTTTCACATAAACCAAGAATCGCGTCCCACTGAAAACATCAAACCGCTCCACTGCATCGCTCGCGCTGCCCATTTTTCCAGCTTCAGCCGCTCTTTCGGACACTTTGACCCATTTTTGTCAGAACATTTAGGGGGTTTCCTAAAATGGTGGTACCCCAATAGCTGGATGCTTTATTTCATGGAAAATCCTAAAATAACATGGTATGATTTGGGGGTACCACCATAGATTGGAAACCTCCAGGGAACATTGGGCTTGAACCTACGAACTTGGACCCATGAAATTCGTTGGTCTCATCCCCACGAAAGACACGAACGTCGCGCCCGAACTGGGGCCATGTCTGGAACTGTGGCGCCTCAAGGAGCGCCCGGTGCGGATCTGGCTGTAGGTGAACCGCCGAGGCTTTTTTCACTGCATGGCAGTCGATCGGGGTACCAAACATCCCAGATGGACATTGAAAATACATTGGTTACATACCTTCTGGAAATTTGTTACATACCTATAGATGGCAATTTTAGTTCGTTGATTTACCCATCAAAAATGGTGATGTTCCATGGTTATGTAACAGTTTACCAGAGGCTACATGTTTTTTTTGTTTCTTTCTCTAACTTAAAAAAAAAGTGACAAAGAAATGATTTTCACTTAGTTCCTGGCTTCTCCCAACTGTAAATTTGGGTAACCAACTGTAACCTCGTGTAGACATTTTCCCATTAAACATGGTGATTTTCCAGAGTTATGTTAGTTTACCAGAGGGTAACTTGGTCTATGATAAGGCCAAACCTAGCGGTCGACTTGTTTTTTAGATACAACAGTAGATATATTCTGGGTAGTTGGGATGGTTTTTTGGAACACACGTTGAGGGACATCACAAGGACAAAATTTCATAGGTACCCGGCCTGGTAAACTGTTACATAACGAACTGGAAAGATCCAGCCTTTTTACTGGGTAAATCATGGTAAATCAACTATTTCGACTGGACCATTTTCAATAGCAAACTGAAACAAATTACCAGAGGGTATCAAGAGGCCATGGCTTCCATAGCTACAAATCTTGGCTCATCTCACTTTAGTAAACAAAAAAATGAACCCTATGAATCCAATGGGCTAAGTAGGGTTAGTCAGTCTATGATTGGGGTGAGTCAACCTACTTACAGTAAGTTGAGCCACCAAGCAGACACTAATTGAGTCTAGCCAAATTCAGTCGTCACATATCTCTGTTGTTTTTCTGGAAAAACATTTTTAGCTGTTTTAAATGAACCGAATCCCAGTATGATCCCTGGGTATTCATAGTGTTTTAGAGTTACCTTGCAAATAGTTACCCTGGATCCCTGGATTTCTCGCAACGGTATTCTCGGTATCTTTGACGTGCCACTGTTGCAGACCTCAGCGTTTCCACACCTACGGAACCTATACGGAACCGACCGAACCTACTAAACGGGACGGCACATACAGTACTTTGCGTCCTGGGGAATCAGGGTCATGCATCTGGTAGTTAAACACTAAGATGTTGTTTATAGTATCAAGTTCTAAATGGCATATCCAAATTTATATATATATATATATGTATAATATATATATATGTTATACAAATATACACACTATTTAACAACCAGATATTTTATAAGTATACAATATCCAAGTTATATCCAAAGTTATATAAATATACAAGCTATTTGTTTGTATTTGGTTAATATACAGTAGTGTACATTATAAACCAGGATTTCCTTCAGGTTTCCCCATTTCCCCAGTTCTGTTGGAAGTTCCATTGGGTTTATACAAAAGGTAAGTACTTATCTGGTTGGTGGTTTTAACCATCTTGAAAAAGATTAAAGTCAATGAGCAGGATGACATCCCATATATTATGGAAAATAAAAAATGTTTGAAACCACGAACCAGTTATCATCTGACTCAGCACCAGTCATTGCAAAACATGTTTGCCTTTACATATGCTGCGTGCTGTTTGTTTCATCCTCAATAATTTGAGGCTTTAACATCGTTTCCTTACAACCTGACAATGGCCAACGCAAAAATGTATGCGTTTATATTGATAGAATATGATATAAATTCACTGTAACTCATAATATGCATTCATATTCCAAGAATGAATCCATTATCGTCATATTCGTTCACAGTCTACAATGTGATGGATTGCATGTGCTCCGTTTAACGGGTTCTTGAGTTCATTTCATATAGCAAGATCAGCATTTTTTTCTGGCTTGTAGAAGCTACCCTCCGGTAAACATAAAATAAACTATGGAAAATCACCATTGTTTCATGGGAAAACTCACTATTTCTATGGCCATTTTCAATAGCTATGTAACAAATTACCAGAGGGTAATGAGAGCAGCCATTCCCTCGAAACATCTTGAAACATCATCAAGATGGGGCTGATGCTTTTTACATCTTCCATCGGATTTTTAGAGGGGTTCTTAACAGGGTGGATCCCGACAAAACCATAGATTTCAATATACAAAATGGTCTAAATGGGGGTTTCCATAGTCATGGGGGTATCCAAAATGCTTGGTTTATTCCATGGAAAATCTCATTAAAAGGCCATGTTTTTGGATGATTCCCCAAAGAGAACCATCATTGGCGATCGCAGTGAGGTCGTTGTAATTTACACAGATTAATCATCTTTATGTAGTACTTTCTGAACACTGAGAACTTATATTCTATAGAAAAAAAAATAGTGTCAGTTGTTTCATTCTGGCTAACCTTTGTTTCTTTCAGCCATTTTGAATGTCTAGCTGGGTCTTGTCTCTGCAATTAAAATGTTAACTTTAGACATGTCGTTTTGGTTCCTAGCGAAAATAGGTTAATCATGTTTGAAATCTTCAACTTTAGACATTCATGTGCTCAAACATGTCTTTTAGTTTCGCTGTTTTCCTATTGAACCTACAGGAGCAACTTGTGGTAGTACCGAGGAGGATCTCTGTGTGGGAATCACAATTTCATCAGCAAAAGACAATTCTCAAAGTCATACAAAAAAAAGAAACAGCCTCCTATAAACATGATTCTGGATGAATTTCGTCATACTTCCCTTAGTTGGGCCATTAACCATCATGAATGCATAAACATAATTAAAAATCCAGATTCCAGTGACTTAGATTGAACATCCTCCCCCTCCCAGGACGATGCGCGCCACATGAACAAAACGAGTTGGGTAGCCCATTGATTTTTCTACCATCGGCGAATCGGACTCTGAAGGCCTCTGTGCCATTCTGTGCCACGGTCACTCCTCGATCCAATCATTTTGTTGTGGCTATCTAAATCCCTACAATTAGTGAGGCCCCCGGCCACGATATCTAAGGTGGGGGCCACATAACTCCAATGTCACGAACTGGTTTATGGTACGCAAATAACGAACTAGTTACTGGGGCGAATCTAAACCAATGTTCACATCACGTTTGGGGGCCTCACATTGTATGGTTTAAGGGATTGATGTCCATCCCTACTCAGTACCATCATTTTTATGGCTAGCATTTTTTTGCAACTTTTGACCATGGCACAAAAAGAACCTTCCACATTGTGATCTGTTTTGTGGGTCCCACGCGTCTCGAAACAGGGTAGGCCGAAATCCACTGCTCATGTTTTTTCCCTATGATTCAACATAAATCATCTATGTTCAATAGGCCGTAGACAGTATGACATCGAAAAAAACATCGTATGACATCGGTGGTGACCCCATCTTCAAATGCGGCCGGAAAAGGGGACGACGGAATTCAACCGAATTCCCAAGGGGGAACTCGGAGATTACAATGAAAAGCAGTGCTGGGCCGTGCACCTGGCTGCTCCATCTCCCCCACGACCGCCACCGAAGCCGCGGACACTCACCTTTGAATGAACGCGATGGCGCTCAGGGCGAAAAAAAATGGGGGCTTTCCTAAAATGGAGGTACTGCAATAGCTGGATGGTTTATACTAGTGGAATATCCCAATCTAAAATGGATGATTTGGGGGTACCTCCATTTAAACCCCAATTTTTCTGTATGCCCTCAGGATTCCCCAGTTCTGGTCGATTTCCCCTTGGGAAAATGATGAAACATGCCATTCAGAAAAACGCCGACTAAACAAAGCAAAGTCGCTAAGTATGCTACACCACATCGACATACCCAACGCGCATATTCTGTTCGATGAGCCTCCTGCTGCAACTGGTCTACTACCTCCTGGCAATTGGCAATCGCTCTTAAGCCAAGCAGCAGTTCGGAACAGTCCGAGACATACCCTCCAGTAAATTAACATAGACCCTGAAAATCACCCATGTTTAATGGAAACTAGTCTTCCAACCCCTATCTGCCAGGGTCGAACTGTGAATTTACCAGAGGGTAACTAAAAACAGGAAACATGGCCAATCTTAGATATAGTCAACTCCAAAAATGAAGCCCCAACTAAGATCATGTTTTTCTTTTCATATAGAGAAATACCTGGCCTTTTTGTTCACCAGTTAGTCGCGAGCTCTGGGTCATGTTGGATCCACAACATAGCGCGATGCCGTGTTTTTTTTTTTCGCGGCGTCACTTGCAGATACCATCCGATCATCAAAAAATGGCTGGGAAATACATGGTAATAGCCTTTGGAGATGAGGATACATGATTCGAGAAAAACATACCTGGTGGTTGACCCACCCCTCTGAAAAATATTATATAGTCAGTTGGGATGATGAAATTCTCAATATATGGAAGAATAAAACATGTTCCAAACCACCAACCAGATATGTATAAATGATGATTTTCCAGAAAACCATGTTCGATTTCCGATATCCAAAATTTCCAAATGGAAACTCTCCTAAGTGGTTTGTCCATGATTGTCCACACATGGGCTATACTACTATGGTACACAACATTGTCATTTAAGAAAACGAAACGGAACATCATGATAATCAAGCTATTTTTTGGGGGGTACCCACTTTTTTCTGGACAAAGCCCAAATCAGGTCAGTGTTGGTTGTATATCCCATTGTCAGACTACCATATCCTAATAAAATGTGTTTTTTTTGACATGATACCCGACCCAAGCCTAATCTTTGCCTCTTACTCTTTCCGAACATGTTGACAAGACTGTGGAGATATTGCTGAACAATACCCTCTTGTAAACAAAAAAATAGATGTTGAAAAGCCGCCACCTTTAGATCATTTAAAAGATCATATGGTTAATAGGAATTTGTGCCAGACAACGGAAAACCACAGTTTTGCCAGATCTATGTAAATCTTCGCCCTCGGTGTGTCCTGAGGGGTCTGTGTCTCAATATCCACCTGTTGAAGCAACTGCCAAATGGCCTGTCGAAGATTCTTTCTCCGCTTATTGCCTCAGGACTCGCTCAGGACTCCTTGATTTTCCCTGGTAAATCATGGGGTACCCCCTACCAGTTGTCGATCCTCATGGAAGTACACTTACCTGCACCTCTTGGGTGCTGTGTATCGTCCATCTTGCTAAAAGAATACCTTTGAACACTTTGATCACTTCTAACGTCTATGAACGGGTGTTTACGTTCATGGGCACCTTTGAACGGATATTTACGGCCATGCACGGTTATTTGCTTCCAAGCCTTTAAGCCCCAAAAGTATCTTTTAAAAAAAACCTTATTCCATGTTTTGAGGGCTTGCTAGACACGTGCAAAATCAACAAAAGAACCTTTCAGGGAATAAACATTTCCACCATCCAAGAGACTAAGCAAGAGAGGGGGTAGACCTAAATGTCTGGAAACCCTCTTCAAAATTGCCTTGTATAGCTGAACACCCCAGAAAATAGGATGTTTGTGATCCATAAAAATATCAATTTCCATCAAAAAGGTTGAAAACCGAGTTCCAAAATAGAACAGAAACAAGAAAAACCCTTCCAATGCCATTTTTGCACAAAATATGGGTTCCTAACAAAACTTGTGTTTTTGCGTATTTCTATGATATAAATTGCGCAAGTCGAACGTAATTGAACATAATTTAAACGTAATCTGTAATCTGAACGTAATCTGAACGGTTTACGGGTTTTAACGCCCCTGGAACAAGTTTTTACGTCCATGTGTGGGACCCATATTTGGTAAAAAAATTGCATTGGAGGGTGTTTTCTTGTTGTTTCTTCTATTTTGGACCTCGGTTTTCAACCTTTTTGATGGAAATTGATATTTTTATGGATCCCAAACATCCTATTTTCTGGGGTGTTCAGCTATACATGGCAATTTTGAAGGGGGTGTCCAGACATTTAGGTCTCCACCTCTCTTGCTTAGGAAGCTCAGGAATAGCATTTGCCTATATAGATGTTGGCGGGCAAACGATATTGTATATATCATTGTATATAGCCGAGATGTATTAACAACAATGATATGGAACGAACATCACCTACAAGGTGCCAAAATGCTTGAACATGTTTTTTTTTTCCCCGGTAGTTTACGTTCAGGACAACAATTATAGCTCATTACCTAAGAATTACTTCTCTTTCAGGATTTGGACACTGAGTGTGCGACAGCAGAGTAGCAAGTGATGCCAATCCCCCAGGACTTAAGAAACACCGGAGACCCTAACGTGTCGTGCATGGCGGCTACAACGAGAATAGGCTACAACCATCTACAAACCAAAAACCTCATGATTCATCATCATTCTCCCAGAATAAAAAATGTGATCTAGTATTCAAAGCAACTCTTTTAAAAAAAATATAGAATCACAGAATCACAGTGTCGGCTGTAACATCATTCGATGATATATCAACCATATATAGCTGATATATATATATATGGCTGTGAGTCAAAATATAAAGCCCCGATCCATACCCTGAACCCACAGGACGATCCATACCCCCGATCCATACCAAAACGCAGGTGATCCAGACCGTTCCATACGTCTGGATCACCGCGGGCCGATCCATACCCGAATTTTGACGCAACCCCATATATATATATATATATATACCATAGGTTTATAAACCAGCTGATATATCTACCATATATAGCTGATATATCGACATCATATTGAACCATCATTATCTTTCCAGCTTTCCCACGCCGCATCCGTCCCACGTCACTTCGCCAGGACACGTGGCCGTCGCGCCGAGAGAACTGTCTCCTGCGCAGTCGCTGTATGATGGCAGTACTTGCACGAGTCGCCCTTCAGACACCCTGCTGCCGAGTTGTAAAAGAGACACCTAGGGAACGACGCTGGAAAACAAAGGAGAACTCTGGTTCGATTTGATTAAGGGGAGAGGGTCATAGGTGCTAAATGATGCTAAATGTTATTAAGTAGTTCATGAATACAAACAGTTAAGTTGCTTGAGTTTTTGGAGTTCACATTCGGTGATTTTGGTGTACTATATGGCCGATAGAATGAGCTAGTTAATGGGGGTTAAGTACTTGGGGGTGCAGTTCCAATTCTGCCTCCTTGATCCTGTTTGTTGGTTTATAACCCCCATTGACTATAGATAAATCTGCCTTTTCACCATTAGCTAATTGGTGGTTAATTTCAACCCCACCGAAAAATATGAGTTCGTCAGATTGGATCATCATCCCAACTATTGGGGAAACTAGAATTCATGTTCCAAACCACCAACCAGATTAGCTAATCCTCTTAAGACTGGTGTTTTTCTCGGTGAACTAAGTGGTTATATCATGTTATATCACCAGGGTTGGGTAACTTAGTGGATAACTGGGCAATTTCTATGGCTGGTTGGTGGTTAAAAAACCATCTTGAAAAATATGAGTTCGTCAATGGGTTTTTTTTTTCACTTTCCAGATGCTGCACGACATTGTGCTTGGTCTGTGCCATGCGGGTGCCCTATCTGTGGCAATCTGTACACTATCCATGATAGTACGGTTGGACTACTTCCACGGAGACAAAATCCGTTGCCACAAATTGGGAAGGAAAATAAAACATGTTTGAAACCAACCAAATGGTTTATGATGAATGGAGACTGAAACAACGTTTATGGCTTGATGGAAATTGATCTACAATTAGATGAATCAACCAGCATATCAGTGGGGCATCACATTTCATTGGAGTTGATTACAAAAAATCGTATTTCCCGTTTATGCTGGGTCCTATTGAAACACACACCCGCTTAAAGTTATTGGATTTGCCCTGGGGAAACCTGTGGAAAATCCCTAGGAACATGATCAAAAAACACCAAAAGGGGGTCTACGTTGGATGGTAAAATCTGAGGTACAAACTTCACGTTAGATTATCCATTAATGGTGTTTTAATGGGATTTAATGGTGATTCAATGGCATTTAACGGGATTTAATGGGATATATGATGATATACCCCCTGGTAAAAGTTGACGTAACTATGGAACATCACCATTAATTTAATTGGTAAATCGACTATTTCAAGGACCACTTTCAATAGCAAACTGTTAGTTTACCAGAGGGTTTTCCCCAAACATTTACAACAGCATTGATCCACATCTGGATCCAGAATGTCGATGGATCTAATCCTGGAGGTTTCTTGTGTTTTTTCTCACAATCCGCCATCCAAGTTTTGGGGAAAGGTATGAACCAACCTATAACTATATAAAACCCATCGAATTGGTATAACACCGGATTTTTTTTCGGCGGATTAGCAATCAAACATGTTTTTTTCTTGGACACAAACATGCTGATATCATCAAAAAATGATGGTGAGTTGATGGTTTTTTATACAAGTTGGTGCCCCAGTGCGTTGGCCAAGTGGATTTGTAGCCCCCCATGAAAAGTAGAGACACTTCTACCAGTAACCATAGCTTATGAATGGAATAAACCAGTGTAGCCATCGTTTCGGGGGCCCACACAGTTAGCTGACTTGGTAAACATATTGAACGAGTCTTGGGTTGAACTGCTAAATATATCGAACCAATTTTCATGGGTAACCCAAACAACTGGGGGGCACCACTTTGTAGGATATTGCTCGCATGGATTCAAGGGAGATAATTGGTTCGATATAACGAGATAAGGGAGCAAATGTTGAGTCATTTCCAGCGCATTCATCTACTGAATGGCTTGCAGCTGAAGTGATCTAATTACTTTCTTCGAGTGATCCCCACCCTGACACATTATTCTAGCATAATTCCTGCCATACCATCTGGAAGTACCTATTGGATAGTTATTCTGGCATTCTGTCTGACATTCTTTCTGGCAAATACTCTGACATTCTTTCTGGCATCTATTGTGACATACTTTCTGGCAAATATGCTGACATCCTTTCTGACATTCTATCTGGCATCTATTCTGACATTTTTTCGTCTATTCTGGCATTCTATTCTGGCTTTCTATCTGGCATTCTATCTGACATTCTATTCTGGCATTCTATCTGGCATTTACTTGGATATTCTCTCTGACATGAACGGTGCGAGTGCCAGATCTGAGTGGGCAGTGCCCACTTGCCCACTGGGATCTGGAGCTCGCAATTGAGGTCCGGCAGTGCCCACTGAGATCTGGAGCTCGCGGTTGAGGTCCAGCAGTGCCCGCTGGGATATGTAGGTCGCAGTTGAGGTCCGGCAGTGCCCACTGAGATCTGGAGCTCGCGGTTGACATTGAAATCTGGAGAGGTCCGGCAGTGCCCACTGCTGTCTGGAGCTCGCGGTTGAGGAGAAGGAGAAGGAGGAGGAGGAGGACTGGACGCACCTCTGATAAAATCTAGAGATCCTCACCTGGCAGGTGGGGAATTAATAAATTTGAAAAAGCTTCAATAAAGCCTAAATGACAACTATATATTGATATTTTGATGCTCTTGGCACCCCTGATTTGCAAAGGGAATCAAAACAAATGCTTTATGTTTGGAATATTTATTGACATTTACCCAACTATCAAGAAAAAAGGATTTGCAGATAAATCATGATAAATATACCAGCACCAAGAAGCATATGGGAAAACCATGCAACAAAAACACATGCTGAACAAACAGGTTCAGTCACTGGTTGCAGGGTAGACGATAGTGACCAGGCAGAGTCTCTAAAGAAAGCGCATCACCTCTTTCATCTGGGGCCTCGTCGACAAGGGCCTCATCTGGGGCCTCATCTGGGGCCTCATCTGAGCTGCTTGCATCTTCGGTCATTTTTGAACCTACTACGCTAACCTGTACACGATGTTCCTTTTGATCCAAAACACTCTCAGTGGCAAGGCCGGTTGGTCAAGGACTTTGGGAGCTGGGATCTGAATGGTCCCAAGAATAAGCTGCTACCTACACCCTCCAAATACAAAAAAAAACATAAAAGTACCATTATAATCCATGATAGTGGTAAAACACCATGTTTAAGTCTAGTTCTTGGAGGATCTAGTAGATCTAGGTACCAACAGAAGGCATTCTTAGAACCACCTCTAAAAAATCCCTAGGTGACGCACCTCTCCAATGGATGATTTCTTTGATCCCAGAAAAAAACATGGGAATCTCCGTACAAATTGCTTGGTGTATCGTGGTTTTAAATCCATGAATTAACATGATGGTATGTTGATCCCATAGCAACAAAAATGTAATTCTACACATGGTGGGTCAACTTCACATCCATGCTACTTTTGAATAACCGGAGAAAAGGCAATTTTGGGGATGATTCCCTTACTAACTATCATTCTAGTGACGTCACCTGTCGCAGTTAGGTCTTCATAATCTACTCACAGATATATCAAATACAATAAAATCCAATTAGGAAATCCCAGTAAATCTCATTTGCTGATGATAAAAGCTCCATATTTTTCCAACACTTTCCAGATGAATCCCGGATATGAGTTGGTCATAGGAATTGTAGCATAACTCCTAAGTTTCCCAGATTCTGGATGTTCTATTGCATCCTTAAATCAAAACAAATGTCAAGTAGGGATTGGACGATTAAATACTAAATCTGTATCTTTATTGGTCAAACCAGCATAATTTGTGGATCTCAGGATCTATGCTAATTTACTGGAATGGTAATTATTAATTATTATGTTCCCATGATATTCCGATTACCATCCAGTAAATTAAGATGACGACCCTGGCAGACAGGGGTTGGTTCAGACTAGTTTCCACTAAAAATTGGGTGTTTTCAGGGTCGAACTGTTCATTTAGCAGAGCATCAATCTCATTAGTAGTAAAATTCACCATCAAAATTCCATTAGAAACACATTAAAATCCCATTAAATCCCATTAGAAACACATTAAAATCCCATTAAATCCCATTAGAAACCCATTAAAATCCCATTAAATCCCATTAGAAACCCATTAAAATCCCATTAAATCCCATTAGAAACCCATTAAATCCCATTAGAAACCCATTTTCCCATCAAAACTTCATGTCAGTTCCTTAAAGCACCCATGGCTATGGCTTGGAGGTTATCCCACTAGCCACTATCCCCGCAATATTTTCGCAACGGAACAGGGCCCATTTTATTCAGTGATTAAAAAAACAACTTGAATTTCCAGAGTCGTGTTAGATTACCTGCCAGCATTGTGTGATTATGATATATTATGATATTCCCATCAATGTCCTTTAAACATCTTTATTTTTCCTCATGTGTTGTTGCTTAAAATGTCCATTGCATCCCCATTTTTGGTATATTACATTGTCCCATATGCTCCATGTATGGTATATTTACCTACATGACTGGGTGATTTTGTTCGGGCAAATGTTGGTAAGCATATTCCAGCACCATGGTTCGCATATGGGTGTAGTTTTTTTATTATGATATTGACATCAATCATCTTCAAAAATCCCGAGAACTACCCCATGAGATCCCAAAAAGTGTCAACAAATCCCCATTCTTTGCCTCGTTGGTGGTATACCTACCCCTCTGAAAAATATGAGTTCGTCAGTTGGGATGATGAATTTCCCATGGATAGTCATTCAAAATTCCATGGTTCCAGTCACCACCAACCAGTTGCAGACCAGCCATCTCTGCTTCGCATGGATTTTCGAGGTCCCATCTTATATATATATGTATGTATGTATATATTGTATCTATGTAATATATATGTATATATATATATATATCTATCTACAACGTTGAGTCCCGGACCATCTGAGTCAACAACTGCAGGGCTTGCTGCCATCGAGCGCAGCACTTCACCAGGGATCCCAGGGTCACCTTTTCGGGCGACGTTTCGTAGAGCGAAAAATTCGGGGATGGCTTTTGTAGACAGAAATGGGGATGGGTTGAAAACATGGTTGATGATTAATTATCTATGGTTAATGGTTGATGATTAATTATCTATGGTTAATGGTTGATGGTTAATTATCTATGGTTAATGGTTGATGATTAATTATCTATGGTTAATGGTTGATGATTAATTATCTATGGTTAATGGTTGATGATTAATTATCTATGGTTAATGGTT